TGGTAACACATCAAGTTAAACACATTATCTACCATCATTATCATAAAAGAGTAATAATGTATTATATAAAAACTATATCTTTTAATATTTATGTAACTTTTATAATATATTTAAATTACACATAATATTAGATATGCATACCACTTAACTTTAAAAATTAAACATAATTACATAAAAATATGTATAACAAATAATATCTTCTTTAACGAATATGAACATCACTTCTTTGATTTAGACTTACATATAGATTCTTTTAAATATGCGAAGTAATTATATTATATTTTTTGAAGTTTTTTAATTTTAAGAAATATTTTTTATGATGCAATACATTTATATGATAAAAAATTAAATAAAAAATCAAGATACATGGAAAAAATTTAAGTATAAGTTTAGTAAATGTTTCTTATACTTCAACAATTAAAATATCAAATTTAACTAAATTTTTTATGATATATGCTACCTTTTATAATCAAAAAGATCTTTATTGCTTCAATTGGGCTATAAGTAAATCAAGATAAGGTATATTAGATAGCTAATTCATAAAACCACATCTAAGATAAATTTAAGGCTAAATTCATGTAAAAATTTTAAAAAAATTTACAAGATTCATACTTGACAAATAATCATTTATAAGACATCATCAAATTTTTATCTCAAATAGAAAAACAAGAGCTTAAGACAAGCAAGCATTTTTTGTTTGTGTTTGTGTTTGTGTGTGTGTGTGTTTTTTTTTTTTTTTTTTTTTTTTTTTTTTGTAGAGATTAAAACATGTGATCAAAGAAATAGTTTCGAAAATATAAGATGGCTATAAGATTCATAGGATTTCAATTTATGGCTATAAGATTCATAGGATTTCAATTTATAATATTTTTTTTGCTAAACATTCAAAATTAGAATTTTATAGACAACAAAGTTTTGAAGGTAATAACAATTATTATAAAGTTTGATTTTTTTTTTCATTTATGCTTAATCTATTTTTGAAATTTTGTTATTATATAGACATATAAATAAGTCATTTTTTTCAAACTTTTTTGTCATTTTGATGGTGATGTCAAAAGATATATGACCACAAATCCAAATATGTACTAAAATTAAACAATTCAATATTGGTTACAAAATTATATATATATATATATATATATATATATATTTATACTTTCAATAAAATAAATATTTTAAAATATTAATAATATATTTTTTTATTAAGTGAATTATAACTTAGAAATGTGTTAGCCATTTGGTTGCAAAAAATATTTATTGAAATTCTAATATTCTTTCTATAATCTAAATAAATAATCAAGGTGTTTAAAAAGACATAACTTAATAATTTTGATCCTTTTAGAAAACTTTAATTTTTATAGTAGAAATTTAGCTTCTATAAGTTTTTACAAGATTCAAAGTAATAAACTAAAAAATATATATATTTTTTATAAAAACTATTAAATTTATAAATTATGTTTGCTTCAAATTTTGCAATTGCTTAAATGATACGAATAAAACCATTATGTAGAAGGCTAATCTAATGATTCAATTAGAAGTTTTATTTTATTATAATTTAATAATTTAGTGCTTATGAGATGTTTAGATTTTTTCATAATTTATAGGATTTTTAAATTTATAATTTTTATTTTATAGAATTTAGATTTTGAGAAGATGATAAACTTAATAAGATTACAGATTTTTATAGTCTCAAAAAAATAATTATTCAAAAAAAATTAATTTAATATTAAAATTTTATAAGATTAAATAGAACTAAGATCTATGCTAACTAGATATTTAGATTCTATATTTTAATATGCATAAAAATATAATAAACAAGACATTACATTTGAAATTAGGTATGCCTATTTTAAACAAGAAAAATATCTTAAATATCCCTAAAATATGCTAAAATATCAAGAATATCCTTGCATTCTTAATAATAGCAAATGTACCTTTGAATATGATAAGATATCTAAAGAAGACAATTGAATCTGCAACACAACAAGCTAATACTTTTTAAACACTTAAGGATAGGCATAGACATCAACTTAATTGAATATGACTTGCAGGATGTGGGAGAGGCTTTGTAATAGCGTAATTGCAGTAATATTGCCTATTATATTATAATTGATTGTGGTGATATATCATGCATATCAAGGCATGCACCTTTGTGCTTCCATTGATGAATTTCTATATACACTTTGAATTCTAAGTTTCAACTAGAAACTAGGATTGCATTGAAGCCAATATCAGAGGTACATTAGAATCAAGGGTGCATTGGTGCCTTGCCTAGATTGTGCAGCAATGACAAAGGACATGGGAGGTGCAAGGAACAAAGCCCCAATTTTCCAAGAGTACACAACACATGGGCCATAGGCTCCTTTGCAATTTGACAATTTGGCAATGCAAAATCTTAAAGGCATGTGGTTTAGGCCTGATATAAAAATAAAAAATAAAAAAATAAAAAACCCATGAAAATTATTGTATCTTTGTCGGATTGGTGATACTTTATCTTGAATATGACATATTCAAGAGTATATTTGCTACTATCAAAAATGTAAGGATATTCTTGATATTTTAGCATACTTAAGAGATATATATGATATTTTTGTATATATATATATATAAAATCTACCACATCTTTATTGTATTTTTTATAAATATAAATACCAATTTTAATTTTAAAATAATAGATATTTTATGCTAATTGATTATATGTATTGAAATAAATTAAATAAAAAATAAATTTATTATTATATATTACTTCTATTTAAATATTCTAAATAATGATATAAATGTTATTAGAATTAAAATTTAAAATTTTTAAAAACTAAGTTTCTATCTTATTAGCATTGATGATAAAACATCTTATCTTGAAGTTCTACTTTTGCGATCAACCAATTTGAGTATAAAAAATTGTACAATCAATTTCGGATCTTAAAATTTCTTCTTTTTTGCAATTTAAAAACAACGCCTATGACATCTAGATTCTTAATTGAAGTATAAATCATAATTTTTCTAAGATAAAATTATAATGTTTCCATAATTTATATGCATTGTGTACTATATTTTCTCTCTTTTGCCTTCTATTTAGTAGCTAAGACATAATAACATCTATTTTGTGTTATTATTGTTTTATAAACTTCAAAAAATACATATTTGTATTCATAGGATAAACATGCTTTTTCTTATGATATATATATATATATATATATATATATGTATATTACATAAGAAACTATATTAAATTAATTTTTTACCTTAAGTTATATGTAGAATTTTTAATATGTAGCTTATATCATTTTTAAATCTATGAGTTATGAATTGAATTCCAACATTTGTAAAAAAATATATGTACAAATACAAATGCAAACTAATATAAGAGAGCTACCGATATGCCAAATTTTATGAAAGCCTAATATCAAACTATGTTTTTTTTATTAATAGTGAAGTATTAAAAATATATATTATTTTTAAAGAATAAGAATTATCACAATAATAACATTGTAGAAATGTTACTTTTATTAAATTTATTCAAAGAAACTCTGCCTATCTATTATATAGCTAAATCTATTTTTCTTTTCATTTTTAAGTTTATGGAAAATTGTTTAATAAATATCACAACTTATTTTGATGAATATTAAGAAACATTTTACTTTTTATCAAAATCTAAAGCTGTTCATAGTCAAATAAATTATCAATGAACAATCTCAATCTTTTTAGCTTAGAAATAATAATGATGTAAAATCAAACTACATACAATATTAGATAAGATTAACCACAATAAATCTAATAGTACCATCAATAGTTAAAGTTCCTTAAAAGTACATCACATTATTGTTTTGTATATATGTATGTATATAGGATTTTTAATTATAATTTTACACAAGATATATACAAATTTTAAGATAGAAGACACATTGTGAAACCAAAAAAAGATGAAAATAGCTTTGAAACTGTTGTAGAATCACATGATTGTATATGTTTTTGAACCAAAATTCATTTAAAGTGTTCATAATTGATAGATAATACAAATAGTTATTCATAACAAAAATTGAAATTTTATTGTAATAATAAAATCAAATATATATATATATATATATATATATATATATTCTTTAATGGCACTATATTTTAATCCTAATTCATGAATAAAATAAAATATAAATATAAGTCTTTAATTTGATTACCTCCATAATTTCATCCAAAACATAAGTGTAGCTTCAATTAAATTAATGGTATCAATTATCATTTTATAACATTTGTTATGCTATAAAGAAGTTCAATAATCTAAAGTGATAATGCTTTTTTTTGAAGTTCTGTTGTAACGCTTCAATAATATTAAAAATGAAACCTTCTATTTAATGTGTGTTTGTAACTTTTTTGAACACAAGCACCGTATTAAAAGTTAAAGGCACAAGTAGAAAATGTTTTAAGAAGAAGATGACGAAGAAACTCAATTCAGCACCTCGATACTAAAAAATATCATAAGAATATTCCGGTTAAATGAAAATCAACCATCTTTCAAGACATGATGAGCTCATCTTTTACTTCAGTATACAAAAATACAAGCATCATTCAAGAAGGTTGGTATAAAAACACCAATCATGTGTGAAAAAGAGCAATGACATTGTTTTAAATAATCAAACCATAGGTAATGTATTTTTATTTGTTGTCACCCTTAGCCTCATCTTTCCATGGTAACGAAGCTTGGCATTTATGTCATACTTTTAAAGCTCATAAAAAATATATACATAGTGGTGGGTTCTCCGTACTTTTGAAACGGTGGTAGAGTTGAAAGGTATAATACTTCCCCACTGCCAATTTCTAATATCCCCCTTAACTCAATCCCTTCGCCTGGCTGGCTTGGCTTGGCTCGTTGGCTGACTGGCTGGCCCCAAAGCGATGGGCCGTTGCAGGATCGGGGCCGGGCTGGGTTGGGGAGTGGGCCTGCCAGAGCGCTAAAACGAGGCTCTTCGGGGAATGCGGCCAAAACTGAGGGTGCCGAGCAAAGGGAAAGCCAGCCAGCGCAGGCCAGACCGGGCCGGACAGGGGACGAGGCGGGGCGGGACGATCGTCGTCTGCTTTCCTTCGCCTACAGCCCTTCTTCCAATCCTCCCCTTCCCGGCCCGCTTTACTGTCCTCCTGCCTGCCTCGCCTCTGCAAGCTCGCCCTCTCTCTCTCCCTCCATCGCAGGTCTTCTTCCTGCTCCCTGCCCTTCGTTGCCGCAGATCTGGAAAATACTCCGTTTCTGGTGGCACTTCCGCCACAATTCGCCCTTCACCGTAGCGACTCTCTAGAGGCTATTCTCTGCTTCGTGAAATGCTCCTTTGCCTAGGGAGGTTCGCGTGAGGTGGTCTAGTGTTGAGGTCGGCGTAAGGGGGGGGGGAGTGTGAGGGCGTAGTGCGAGGGCGTCGTGCGAGGGTGTCGTGCGCTAGTCTCGCTTCGGGTGTGGCTCGGACACAAGGTAGAGGACTGCGGTTTCCGCAGAGTTGGAGGGAGTGGAGGTGAGCTGAGCGGGCGAGGTGGTTGTGGAGTGGTGTGTATGTGTGCAGGTTTGGGGTTCGAGATATGGACAAAGCAGCTGGTGTTGTTTTGGAAATTGCTCAGAGGACAGTGTGTCTTGTGGTTTAGGCAGATCTGAAGAGCAGAGGAGATTTTTATGTCGAGGTTTTTCCGGCGGCACTTGGTTTTTTTCGGTTTGTGAGATCATGTAGACTTCGCTAAGTGTGGAACCAGGTCTGTACACAGCGGTTGGAGGACGGATTTTCAAGATCTACTGCCATGCTACACCGTACTTGAAATGCGTAATAGGAAGGGAGGTTGAAGCTTTATTGTAGGATCGTGACTGTATAGTTGTCGGCGGGTTAGGAACATAGCCATGAGCACATCTCGGTTTATCAAGTGCGTTACTGTAGGAGATGGAGCAGTCGGAAAGACGTGCATGCTTATTTCTTATACCAGCAATACATTTCCTACTGTAAGCTGCGACCGTTTCTGGACAGGCGCTTTTTCATGACAGATTTCACTGCACTCTATGTTTATTTGGCATTATTATCAGTTTCCGTCCCATTACGTCTTAAAGATCAGCTTCAGTCATATTGTGGCGCCTTCAGGGTTAATGTATATGCTGCATTTAATCGTCACAACTTACGTCTGTCATTATCGTGCGAGCGTTATCAGGCGGCTTTGGTATCCAACGCTGTGATGTATATATATATATATATATATATATATCCTTTTCTTATTATTTAATTTTTCCTGGGTGACATCTCAAGAGTTAATCCTTATTTTGCAGGATTACGTTCCTACCGTTTTTGATAACTTCAGCGCGAATGTCGTTGTCGATGGAAACACTGTAAACCTTGGACTATGGGATACAGCAGGTAAGAGATAACTTAAGTTGGTGTTCTTTTGGCATTTCGCAGCTGATTACTAGCGTTTTGTATGGCAAGGGCATCCGCAGTGACCGACCAATAATTCAATGGCATTAGCATCTTACATGATCTGAGTCTTACTAGCAATGTTATCGACTCGATCGGATCAGAAGTTGCACTTTCGAACCATTCAGTCAGGACTTGTCATCTTCAAATGGTCTCATTCCATTTGTTTTCTCTAAGCGCAGGTCAGGAAGATTATAACAGGCTTCGACCTCTGAGTTACAGGGGTGCTGATGTTTTTCTACTAGCATTCTCTCTTATCAGCAAAGCTAGTTATGAGAACATCTCAAAGAAGGTACTAGCCCTCTGCATCAGTGGCCTCACATTTGTGTCCTAAGGAGTAGATGCGCGACCGTTTGGTTGATTGCTGTACTCGGTGGATTGCATTGATTCTGACGATTTATTACATGGCAGTGGATTCCTGAACTGAGACACTACGCTCCATCTGTACCTATTATCCTCGTCGGAACGAAGCTAGGTTCGTATTTTTCTGGCTGCACTGATCGTTCTGACGTACGCTGGACTGGTGTCGTTTACAACAGTTATTTGTAGTACATGACGCCCGCAACTTTGCAATATGTTTTGGAGTCTGTCTGAGAAGATTTCTTCGTCTCACAATTCTGCAACTGCGAATGGGCAGATCTTCGAGATGACAAGCAATTTTTCGCCGACCATCCTGGAGCGGCTCCGATCACAACCTCCCAAGTACGTAGTGAAGCTTTACTGTCTACTTTTGATCTTCTACGAATACAGAAGTTGCTCCGAAGACACTCTAACTTTCAGATACTAGGGCACTCGTCAGACTGTTCTAATGGCTAAGTAGTTTCCGTTGGCACCCCAAATCTGGATATCCGAACTAGGTTGAGCGTACTTGTGTGTGATCTCTACACCTCGGTTTCGGTGTCTATATCTAGATCATTCCCTGTTACATCCCACAAGATTTCCCAGTGATAGCAGAATCTTATGTTAACACGTATTGCGTACAGGGTGAAGAACTCAGAAAGGCGATTGGAGCAGCCTCTTACATTGAGTGTAGCTCTAAGACTCAGCAGGTAAACGCTTGAATTCAATTGTGGCTTCTATGCTCAATGTGATGTGTTGGCTCTGCTTTAAACAATTATGTAACTTTTCCCTTTGTATTCTAGCTTGCGCATCTATGAAGATGGGTGGCCAGAGTATGTAGTCCATCATGGCTGCAAGATTTTTGTGTCTTATGACGCCTTTCGGTCTATGCAGAATGTGAAAGCAGTTTTTGATGCTGCCATCAAGGTTGTTCTTCAGCCACCCAAGCAGAAGAAGAAGAAGAAAAAACAAAAGAACTGTGTTATTCTCTGAAATTGCCACAACCTGCATGACTCGGCTCAGTTTTTGGAGCTGTTCATAATCATTGACTTTTAGGCTTGGTCTCGCTTTGGTTATTCCTTAGCTGACGTCCAGTAGTATAGTTTCCCGCGTGATTCGCCACAGATTATCTGTGTCCACTTTTTTGTGGAAACCGAAATCACTTGAATTGTAGTGTATTCTTTTCTCCTGCTGGTAATCTGGTGATGGACAATGGGGTGTGATTTTGTAGATGGTGCTTTCCGTAACATTGACCTAATGGGGGGCTAACTCATCTCCTAGAAATGCTCTTGGTCATCAGGTACGGAACAACCATCTCCTGCAAGCCAAAAGGGGGCTGCAGTAGAAATCTTTGTAGACTTATCAGGCATTTACACTGGAAGCACCCTCATTTCAATGCACTTGCACCATCTCTTGTGTTATTCACGTCTGGGACCGTGGATTCTGTCTTGAATGTGTAGATTGTTTACTAATGAAATTGGTCACAGTCACTACTTGTCACTGCAACCCTGTTTCTCTTGAATGTGTCGCACGACTTATCCTAGAAATTCTCCGTGTTGGCGAAAAAGAGCACAGTAATTCCCTATCCCTTAAACTTACTATGGCCCTCTTTGCTGTTTCTCATTTAAACGCTCTGCTCTTAGATGCCTCCATGCTTTGCAATTTTACCTTAAGTGGCTGCACCGCAACTCATCCCTCGCAGAGTCCATCCTCCTGACGATTTGCTTGACAATACCCCATCGTTAACTGTTAAAATGCACATATTGACGTCATTTGTTTTGGTAATTTTCCCGATTACGTAACTGCGTTGTCTTCCCTTATCAATGTTTGTGTTTCCTTCCACTCGGATAGTGATGGAGGGCGTGGCGTCTGCTGGATGATTGAACTGCTTCTAGCTGTCCTGACATGCGTGTTCACCTGCTATAAAGCTGAAATTCTTTTCTTATAGAATGTCGGGTGTCACAGATCAAGTATCAACATGATTTCTCTTTAATCAGCAATAGCCAGTGAACAGATTCACCTCTCCGATGACCGTAAACGAATACTGTTGTATTGTCATGTACGCTAGCAATCAACTATACTCGAAAAGAAGAAATGATTTCTAGATCGTCAATTGGATATTTCTCTGCTTGACAAACTGTCCTGTTTTATGATCTTTGGCTTTTACAATTCATAACCTTTTCTTGTTATGTCTAGTTATTGTTCCGAATGAGATCAATATTGTACTATGCTTTTGAAAGATATTTTATATTGCATGTGAACAGTCAGAAGAAGGTTAATTGACGTACTGAGGATCAATATAAACTCGTCATTAATTATCATTAGAAGATTATAAAACTTCAAAATTTTGAGGTTTGCTCTTATCAATTCATTCACAAAGTAATAGTCTCTAACAATTCTATTGATAATTCTACAAGAGTTTGACAAGACTATCTCCATCAACATTTCTAGCATATTTTTTCGCAAAAGAAGCTTAATTGTTACTGAGAAAATATTGTAACTGCTTATTTAAATGACTTAGGGCTGTGGCGGAATAGGTATCCGGCTGGTTTAGGTACTGTATGAACAAAAAATCTAAATTGTTCATTGCACCGAAACATTTTAATAAGTCATGAACTTTTAACCCTGTGTAATTGTTCGTAAACGATTTTGTGTGTTTTTTTTGTTACTAAACCTCACATCTTAAACCCTACACACCTCCCAACAATTGGTTGTCAGTCAGTCAGCTGCATACAAAATCTGACACAGCTAGCCAACATCTATGTGCAAACACGAATGAGTGACGGACGAATGATGTTAAAAGGGCAGAGTGAGAGCTGGGTACCTATTCAGCAAAATTTTCCAATCACAACGATTAGCCAAGCTGTGAGTGAATTAATTAAGTGAAGCATTTGTTATCGTTTCAATAGACTTATCCTGTCAGAAGATCACTTGTATGGAATTTTTTTTTGAACAACGGCACTTGATGTCTGTAAGACTTCTTGAACGTTAGTTTCGTCATTTAACCCGAAATCTTCAAATCGAATTTGTTGCTGATTGTTTAGAAGTGAGTATTTGAGTAGTCATACTTTCCTATACAACAATAATATTTGTGAGTAAATAAGAAGATGGGGCTTTCTGCACTCTCTAAACGAATTAAGGAGGAGATGGAGCTTGCTGCACTCTCTAAACGAATTAAGGAGATGGAGCTTGCTGCACTCTAAAAGAATAAGGGAGGTTTGCATTCTAGACGGAAAATTGTAGTAAAATGTACTTCGAGAGAATTTCTCCGTCTTTGCACAATTCACAAGGTGCTGTACAATGTCAAACAAAGGTCAGACCAATAGACACCCACAGCCACTTTCGTTTAATAGAGCTCCTTATTAGAAAATATATTGTTGTGCATACACATTTTTCAAACTGAGAATAGTACGTACGATGCTTTGATGATTCCACAGATACCTTTTCAGAACACTACGCTTGAAAGCTTTTCAAGACACACTCTACAAGAATATCATGCAGCAGACAAGTAAGACTCATAAAAATACTATCTGCACTCCCTGTTCATCAAAAGTACACTGCAGCAGGAGATCAGAAAGGTAAGGTACAGCATCATCAAGATATCACATTAACACGCTCAATTCCCAGCTGTTGAGTTGTGTTCAGCACATTGATCAGAATGAATTGGAATTAGAACTATATATTCAAGATGACTCAGCTGTGGAAACTGGTCGTAAATTCAGCAAGAACCGGTTTGCTCAGTTGCAGCTAAATGAATTAGCTAGAGCATGAATTTATGAAAATGCATAAATTACACAGCCAATGAACACGATCCATCATCTAAGAAAAAGTCGGTTGTACCTTGTAACCCAGTTAGCCCATAAATTAATTCTAGACTCAGTTTAGTAAGTTGGACTAAATTAAGACTTGACCGAAAATGACATATTCCATTTAGTTCCAGCGAATCAAACAGTATCAGTGCTAAAGTTGGGTTTTAAATTAACCGTAACTTAGGAATGACATGTCAGTTCAGATATGACAAAGCAGTGGATTCACCGCTTGACATTTAGATCGTAGAGTTATGCTTACGAGTCTGAGATTGACCAGGAATCGTAAGCACTTGTCAGTGAGCCATACAATTGCGCGGCCAAAGATCAGTGACTATGGAGAAAATTTAAGGACGGTCAGCTCCACTCCTCATACTGGGATCCTACCAATAGGTTAGAAGTCAACTTGGGACTATGGGCAGCAAAAATCCCTGCACTCATAGTTCGTGAATCTATTCAAATGTAAAAGCCCACACACATCATGTGACATGTGACATGTAAATAAAGCTGTTAGAGTAGACGCTCTCGTCTAATTCCAAGCTAGACTTCTCGCTGGTATGAGGAACACATAAGGGTGAGAATTGTTGTCCGTGCAGCATCTGCACCGACGACTATGGGTTGCAGTCAATGCAACCGAGACCAAGTAAGTGATGACAGTCAGGACAGTCAAAGTTCGGACTTGAATCACTTAGCGCAGATTAGATCTGTTAGAGATTAGATGATCCCACAACCAAACTTCCTGCTCAGCCACCATTACGGAGTCTGAATCTCTTCAGGTCAGACACTTTCCTACCAAGTATCCAACATCTTAGGTCTCAGCTAGTGAAGTATCAATATAGATACCCTGCCTCAGCGGTCCACCCTCGTCGACTTGTTTCAGAGTATCAGCTTTCCAGGGCCAAAAATGTTCCTGCACAAATCCCAAGTGCAACCATGCATCGTATTAACAATGGTAGAAAGCATGTCTTACTGGTGCCTGACGAATATTCTCCATCAACTTGACAGAAGGGGCTAAGTACCTACAGCACTTTGCAACTATTAGGAAAGAAAAAATGCCAGAATAACATCCCCACATAGAAATGTCCACCGAAACGGGACTAGAAAGGTGAGATTTGCATACCTTTTAGCCAAAGTGGAAGCCACCGGCAGGAGCGCCTGCAGCGTTGCTTGAACCAAACGCGAAGGTTTGGCCTTCCGTGCCAGGTGCCGCATTCGAATCCTCATCCTCTTCTAGCCAATAAGTCTCCAGAATCTTCACAGCCTTTTCATAAATCTCGTTGTTATCGTGTGTCTGCAAGTTCTCAATCTTCTCCAAACCCTCGGCTTCATCGATGTAGCGGGCATAAAGGTTGATACCACCACTCTGGCCAAGATCTTTCTCCTGCTCCCCAACCTTCAAAATGTTTTCCAGCCCTTCGAGGGACACAGTGACGATTCTCGGATCTGGACATGTTAGAAGGTCACATAGTGGCTTAATGCAACCTTGGGTAACAAGGTACTTTATCTGATCGTGACTGCCACCAGAAGTGGCATTTGAAATAGCCCAAGCAGCTTCCTTCTTGATGTCAAATTCTGCGGTGGCAAGAAGAGATACCAAAGGTGGAATGATGTTGGCATCAATAACAGCCTACAGAGCATCGAAGCAAACAATGTAAAATGTTAGTCGAACCATCACTCAAAAGTGCATGCAAGAAATAAATATTTTTGAACAAGTATCACACAATGAAAAATATTTTTACCTGGATTTGATCCTTGTTTCCTGCAGTTATATTGGAAATAGTCCAACAGGCTTCTTTCTTGATACTTTTCTTGTGATTGTTGGTCAGAAGAGCAAGAAGACAGGGAAGGGCCTGATTATTGATGATGAACTGATCCAAGACAACAATACAAGAAGGATGTTAGTTACAAGCAAGAACAAAGTCAACACAAGTTGAACCATTCTGGGACGAGTGGTATAAAATAGAAGTCAAAGAGGAATAAATAGAAACACACCAAAACAGATTTTCCAAACCCTTATTTTAGTTCTGAACTGGCAAGAACACTCCTGAGACATTGAATTCATGTTGATTATAATGGAAGTGTATTTCAGTTTCAAGGAATAGTCATGAACTACATATGGGTGATAACTTCCTGGGACGAGGTGGAAATGTTTGCCTTTAATAATAAGTCTATGAGAGCCGTTTAAAATGCAAGCAATCACGAAATGGTATATGCAAATGCTAATCACATTTTAACGGATATATATTAGAAACCAGATTATTTCCAGAATGGAGCTCAACCTGTGTCTGAAGATCGTCACCAGTCACAATGTTGCCAACAGTACGCAGCGCGGGAATGAGTACAGAGGGCGATGGATGGCTGCTACAAACCACAACAAGGATAATAGACTCTTCAGGGAACTTTCGAGAAAAATATGTGAGACGTCAAGGCCAAATTGAAGCCAAAGAGCATAAATTCAAGACAGTATTTGAAGGAAGGTTTAGAAGCTATACAGCAATAACTCCACAAGTCGACGACAGACGCCAGCCTCAATCACGGCCTGAATCTTGTCATTCGTCCCATCGGATAAATAAGATAGTGCCCAGCAAGCATCCGTGAGAACCTCTTCATCGTTTGAGTGAATGAGCCGCTCCAAGGCCGGAAGCGCTGGTTTCGACTACAAGATAAAAATATGTGATGGATTTAGTCAGAATCCTAGTGTTTTACTGCTACCTAGGATCATGAAACGAAGAGAATGGAAACGAGGAGCGGAAACATAAAAACGATAAATACGTGGATAAATAAAACCGATGAGGAAACAAGAAATTAGCAAACAAAGACTCCGTAGCTCTATTAGAATTATCCCAGTACATAATGATCGTTTCAGAAGGAATTCGTAGAAATTGATTGAACTGAAACTTGATAGTAAGGAAGAAAATAAGAGAGAAGCGAATATCTTACTGTCAAACGAAATCACTTGCTAATAAGAATAATAATAATAGAGTAAGCGTAATAATCACATCACATACCTGCTCAAAAGGTGGTTGAGGCTTGCCACGACAGAAGTTGGAGAGAGTCCAGGTAGCGTTTCTAAGCATAGACAATTTTGTGTTCTCCGTAAGCTGCGCAAGCAGAGGCATCAAGGCCCCATGACCTAAAACAAGGTCACGGCATTTCGGCGAATCACCAGCAACGTTTCCCAAAGCCCATACAGCCTGTTCAAAGAGAATATTAACAGTCAAGTCGGCACAACTGGTCAGCATGAAATCCAGTCGACAAAAGCATGACACCTAGCTAAAGATCACAATGTGAAACTACGAAACACGAGGTTCAGCCACCACTCAATCAATCCTACATATCAGTAGACGATGACTAAGGACTACTCTTCAATTCAATCTACCTAGGATGTGCAAAGTAAGTTACGAATGTTTTTGCAAAGAGAAAGTTTGTCAATAACAAGAGATCCTAAGGAATAGATAACACGAAATATTGAATTTCTTCCAGGCACCTCCAAATGTTGGTTACGCATATCAAAACCCAGAATGAATGTTCGGTACCTGTTCTCGGACATCGTCACTGGGAGAGCTTAGGAGCTGAACAAAGATGGGAACAGCACCATGGTCGATGACAACACGTGTGTGATCAGAAGTCCCTGATGCAATATTTGTCAAAGCCCATGCCGCCTCGAACTGCATTCAGAATTCCATGTGTAAGAAACCGAAGTTGAATTCCCTACGTGGGGCTAGCAATTGCAAACAATCCAGTGCAACTATTAATACCTGCAACTGCGGAAAATCGCTCCTGACTAGAAACTCCACGAAACGGGGGACGACACCAGCGGAAATCACTTCTTCAATGGGAGGACTCCGCTCTGCATATGGAAATTTCCATCACGAACGTAAGCCGAAATCACACCCTTTTTGCGCAGTATTTTACTGAAAACATCTCACGTCTCAAGAGGGAACTCAAACTGATACATAACACGGTCATACCGATAGACAGAAGCTTTCGAAATTGTGTGGTTGCTTCCAACTGGGTAGCAGGATCGTCAGAGTAAAGACCAGAAACCAACGCTGGAAGGCTCTCAAGTTGCTGCAACTGGCAAAAAAAAAAAAAAAAAAAAAAAAAAAAAAAAAAAAAAAAAAAAAAAAAAAAAAAAAAAAAAAACAAACAAATTAGGTTTACCACAAAAACACTAATGAAATGCCGCGGAACCAAGCACAAAATCTAGGGCATGTGTGGGAGCTAAGTCACAAAAAACGAGACCTGTCATCAGATCCAATGTATACGGAGCCCATTCCGAGATCAACCTCACTTTGAACTATAAAGAATCTCAACGAAGTCCAGATTTGAAGAAAATAGGTTTCAAAAACACACATCTACCTACCTTCTTGTCAGACAGAGAGCTCTGAGCGGACGGGACAAACTGCGGCAGCTGCGGCATACCATCCCTCCGCTTCTTCAATAAACTCTCCTCCCTCTTGCTCTTCCGAATCTCCACCATATTGTCCTCCCTCTTCCTGCGCGCCTCATCGGCATCGACCGCGAGTTTGTACCCCTTCTTGCGACCTTCCACTCGGGCGTTCGGTCGAAGAGACATCTTGCCAAACCCAAATCACAGCCCCCCCCCCCCCCCCAAAAAAAAAAAAAAAAAAAAAAAAAAAACCCTCAAAAACACTCTCAAAAACACAAACTCTCACAACCACTCCAACCACCGAGACGAACACGATACAGGACGAGAAGCAGCGAGAATAGGGCCAAATTATCGGCGAGAGAATTGAGCTTCACAATCCGGTGGTCAAGAGGAGGAATCCTTAAGGACAGGGGGGGAGAATTCGGAGAGGAATCAAGTGATGCTCAGCACTATTCGGAGCCTGCCATTGACACCCTGGAGTGAGCAAGCAGGGCTCTTCCCTTTTCCCCCATCCCAATAAAAAGGGGCCCCTCCGCCCGACTTGCAGCTAGGGCCTCGGATTTCTCTCCGCCGTAGGATCTAGGGCGCCATCTCCACCGTCCGTCGGCGGGTATTGGTGGATATTCCAGGGGCCCTACGAGTGGTTCCATTCTACAAGGCCACTTTCCATTCCCAGGGCTGGACAAGCGGCACTCTGATAGGCTCTGGAACCCACCCATAAAAAAAAGTATTTATTAGTTATTATCAATACTTGGCTTCATTCTACTCTCTCTGCCTCTCTCTCTCACACTATTTAATTGCACACTATTTTATTGTTGGGTTGTTTGAACAAGTATGGTGCATAACATCGCATCACTCTATGGAAAAAGATGATATTTGTTTACAGATTGGGTTGTGAAATTTTTCGACAGATGGGACTTAATGTACATTGGGGTTGTTGGCCATACTTGGCTTTCAATCTTTTTGTCAAAACACTCTAAGGATTGTTGTTGTTGCTTTCTTTTTCTTTTACTTTCTCTTTGTTTGTGTGTTTTTTTTTTAAATTACTAGTTTTTTTTCGCATGCATTTGATATGAAGTAAAAATAATATTGTAAATCAACAAGAAATTTTATTTGATTTTTTCATATTTTCAAAAAAAACAATTTTACATGCTTTAAGAAAAAAAATTGGAAGACATTTCCATCAAGTGAGATTTGAGTTTTTTTTTCTTTTTTTCTTTTTTTCTTTTTTTCTTTTTTTTTTTTCCTTTTATTATTATCAAGGTAGATTGGCTATGTCATCAATGTGTAGAGATATTTTGCATCTATGGTTGGAGAGCTTTATAGTGATTGTGGTGGTTGGGTTTGATGTGTGCCAGAATCTTGATCTTCCTTACTTCATGGGTTATATGAGAATCAAGAATTGTATGTCAATAGGGTCCCTTTCTTATAGAGGATGTTGTATTCTTTCATATTTACTTTATTTGAAACTTGGTGTTCTTCACTTTGAATTTTAAGTAAGAGAAAAAACAATATTGTAGGGGTGTATGACTTCGTCAAAAATACATCACCATGGACTTCATTGAATATAGAGAAATATTAACTAGGTGGGTGTTATAACTAAGTATGCCTTCAAATGATGAAGAATATGGTAATCATGATGAATGTGGTTGGTTTTCATTGGTTTCAAATCTAGTAGTGGAGAAATGAATTAAGATGTGATTTTCTTTTTTTATGATGGTTAGGATGGGTGTGTCAATTTTGTAAAAGCCTTGGTCTATTTAACATTCATATATATAATAAAATAAAATAAAAATTACAAAATCTTTATACACTTTAATCACTAAATTTATAAACAACCAAAAAAATCAAATTCTATCATGTAATGCTTATATAACTATGTAATTTTTTTTATATATATTGTATAATCATCCAAATAAATGGTTATTATTGCTTTGTTAACAAAACAACTATTAATTGCCATGTTGACTATTAGTTAACTTGTAAGTTCAAGAATCTACCAAATCATCATATATTCTAATAATAGACTATATATAAGTCAATGATATTTTTAATTAATTATTAGTATATATTTGTAATAAAATGTCTTTATATTTAGATTACAAACTTGTAGTATAAAAATTCAATAGGTACAATGAAATAATGTAATTGATTGTTTTAAATCTTTCTTGCTAGATTTACAAGTTTGTATATATTTTTTATCTTCAAACTTAAATCTTAAGGAGATTTTATACCTAAAAACTTATATTGATAAGCTATGGTTCAAAAGTGTTGATAAGGTCTCTTGCTTACAAAAAAATATTTTTCAACTAGTAAACCTAATCTTTTGATATAACATGTAATAAAAAGAGGCTATGAAATAAATTATATATATATATATATATATATATATAATTCAAGTCTAAATATGTCAAGTCATATCTTTATTTTTAAAATCATGATTTTATTATTATTATTATTATTTTACTCTTATTTTCCCATTAATTATTTTAAACATCTCTTGAGTCAATTTTTAATTTTTTTTCTAAAAACTGCCTCCAGAGATAGACCCAACAAAAATGTTAGAATATTTGAATTACACTTCATTACTTCTTCTTTGAGTATTTGGAATTATTTTTCTAAGTATAAAGCGCATTCAAGGAGGTTTTTTTAAAATTCAATCAATTAAAGAATTTAAAAGTTGTAACTACTCACTTGTCTACTAAATATAAAGAGTCCGTAGATAATAAATTTTTTATTATATTGTACCATGAAAATTTATAATTCGTCTTTAAGATTTTTAATTTTATTCTTAAAAGAGATTGTAAGGTTATAATATAAGATTTTATCTTTTCTTAAATTTGATGAGGTTTCGATTATATATTGTGTTGATTTTAGAAAATTTAAATCTTTAGTAAGTCCAAAAATTAAAAATTTAATGTTTTTTCTAAAATGATAAAGTTAATAGAATATTATATCATAAAGAAATTCAATGCATAGAATTATAATGTTTCAAAGAAAGAAAATGTATATATATATATATATATATATATATTATTCAACAAGTTTTATGAAAGATTGTTTATGAAAAAGTTAAAAAACCTAATCAATGACTACTAGATCATATAAAGTTAGAAAAATACAAGAACGTGGACTACAATACATTCTTTACAACTTGTTTATATCTTTTTATCTTAAATTTTTGGATAAAATAACATTAATAAAATAAATTTAAAAAACAAATAGAATATAAACAAAGATTTAGAAACTTTATATGTTTTATAAGAAATTGCTAGCTAAAATATCAAACAATGGTAAGATCTATCTTTAATTGGATTTTTATATATGAATATATTAGTATAGTCTCATGAAGAAGAATTTGCTTTTAAAATGTTAACTAGTAGAAAAAACATGTATTGGATAATAATAGATAGTTAAGATGAAATACAATGCTTGTAGATTAGTGGAATAATGTAATTTGAGAATGGTTGGAAAATGCTAAGCTTAAAATAAATGAATTGACCACAAAAGAATTTTTTCATTATTAACAAAGATAAGTAATTGACTCAAAGAATATTCTAAACTAACAATAAAATAAAATAAAATAATATCTTATAAAGATTTCAATATCAACATGCAACTTCTATATTCAGAGAGATAACTTATAGCTGCCATATTGGCTACTAGTCAACACATAGTTGTTGTTGCCTAAAAAATTATTATGTGAACGAAGAAGATGATACTACCATATTACAAATACTCACTTAGAAATAGATTTATTGTTAGAATTCAATTGGCAAGTAATTACTCTAATTGTAATTAAATACTTGTAATAAAACGTTTTTGTTGTTGGACTATAGACTTGCACTGTGAGAATCCAAAGTAGATGCTGATTTCAAGGACTTTTAGTGATAATGATTTAAGTTCTTTTATAAAATGATTTGCTATTCATTTATATAGTTATATTAATAATCATTTTATTGATCTCTAATTTTTATCAATATCTTCCAATAAAAATTGTCTTGATAGTACATTCTATATATATTGATATATATGTATATTTCACTATAATTAATCAATCTCCTACATAAATCATATTTAAAATTCTGCTTTTCCTTGTTGATTAAGACATTACACATGAAGCGGTCTTTATCACAACTTGTTTGATACTCAATTAATTTTAGAACAAAGATGTAGTGTATTATATTTTTTTTCTTCTAATTAATTAGTGAATTTATCTGTTCTTTTCACGTCACATTCTGACTTGTGATGTTGAATAGAACATAAATCAGCTACTAATTGAACAAATCAAATATTTGAGTATATGATCTTGATCCATCCTGTCAAATGAATTCAAATTTACAATACATTATCATGCAATGGTAGATATATATGATTTAATTATGATTATAATATGTATTGACTGGCCAAGTATAGGGATTATTGTTAAGAAAGCACTTACTCTGAATCGACAAATTATGAATGTGCAAAAATGCAGTCACGAATGTGATGCTACTTTCCTCACAGTCTAGCCTTGAATATCGAAACTGCATTTGAGAAGAATTTCATGAGCTTGTAAAAATCGGCTTGAATTTGAATAATTCTATTGCAATCTTCCTGGTCAAGAAAGGTACGTGATAAGGAATTTAGACACCTTAGACTAATCAATCCTCAAATTAAACTGTCAAGCTGGTAACAACTGGATGGGAGCGCTTGGCAGCTATGACAGAGTGTTCCTCACTGAAAACATCAGATTTGGTGAGGGCGGGGCAGAGACGACGTCAGGTAGGATAGCAGTGGCACATCAATGTTGATTTTGAGACAACCCATTAACAGAGCATCCTGGGTTTAAGTCGAAAGTATGCAGCGTATAGTCTGCACACATCGGACCATGTCTGGCACTACAATAACCTTGGCAATAATCCTGCGCGTCCACGCAATTCTGCCATGCATTGTTTGAAATCTTCTTGGTGCGTATTATCCTGACGGGCCTTGAATAAACTCGAGATGAAGCATTCAAGTACAAAAGAATAGTTCTGCTAGCCTAATGGTTGATCACACTCCTACACTATTAGGTCAACAACCTGGTGACTTTTCCTCAGTAATCATAATCGGGGTGCACCCACAGTGACCCGTACTAGAGTTCCACTACCTAACCAAAGTTGAAGCCACCAGGGGGGGCACCTGAGGGATTACTCGAGCCGAAAGCAAAGTTTTGACCTTCTGTGACAGGAGCAGTGTTCTGGTCTTCATCCTCTTCCAGCCAATACGTTTCCAGGATTTTGACGGCCTTCTCATAAATCTCATTGTTGTCGTGAGTCTGAAGGTTCTCAATTTTCTCCAAGCCTTCAGCTTCATCAATGTAGCGAGCATACAAGTTCACATCTCCGTTGCTACCACTATCCTTGACCTGCTCACCAACTTTCAGAATGTTTTCTAGTCCTTCAAGGGAAACCGTTACAATTCTTGGGTCTGGACAGGTCAACAAGTCACAAAGAGGCTTAATGCACCCTTGATTGACAAGAAACTTGATCTGCTCGGGCGTTCCACCGGAAGTAGCATTGGATATCGCCCAAGCGGCCTCCTTCTTGATGTCAAATTCGGCAGTTGCAAGAAGAGCCACCACAGGTGGGATAATGTTGGCATCGATAACAGCCTGCGGAATGTACAGGAGCTTTAGTCATGGGGTGCCAGAGCCAATATTCAGAACAGAACCATATTTTGACGAACTTCAAACCTATTGACAACAACGAACAGAAACTAATGCGCAGACGAAATTACAATCCAACCTGAATTTGCTCTTTGTTTCCGGCAGTGATGTTGGAGATAGTCCAACATGCTTCTTTCTTAATGCTCTTCTTGTGGTTGTTGGTCAATAGTGCGAGCAGGCAGGGCAAGGCCTGGCAGTCGATGATGAACTGCGCGACAGTAAACACGCACGTAAACACTACTGATGACGGGATGGAAAGTGAAATAATGGGTGACGACCGTAACATACACATGAACAACTTTGATGCAGAAATGTTGAAAAGAAACAGCGAAGCAATGATTTCAGATCTTGTATGGATACCTGTGTTTGAAGATCGTCGCCAGTAACAATATTTCCGACTGTTCGCAAGGCAGGGATGAGCACTGAGGGTGAAGGGTGGCTGCTAGATTTAAGAAACAACCGGGTTAATCTGTGTACTCAAGAGACTTCCACACTAAGGAGACGGCTAGAAAGATCAGGGTTCTATGGTTTAATGAGAATGCTTACAGCAAAAGCTCTACGAGACGCCGACACACGGCAGCTTCAATAACGGCCTGAATCTTATCATTGGTCCCATCGGACAAGTAAGAGAGAGCCCAGCACGCATCAGTCAGGACCTCTTCATCGGTGGAATGGACCAAGCGCTCCAACGCGGGGAGTGCGGGTTTGGACTGCAAAGAGGAGGCCGAGTCGTTAGAAAAGAAGACTTTTGTTCTTCTACACACGTTACAACTACAAAACTGAGAACATGAGTCGGTCGGACAAAGGTCACATAGCCATACCAGGTGGCAGATCACCCCCAGCGAATATGAACCGCAAACTGCAAGCGGAGAGCTACCTGTTCAAAGGAAGGCTGAGGTTTTCCACGACAAAAGTTGGAGAGCGTCCAAGTGGCATTTCTGAGCATGGATAATTTAGTGTTGTCGGTAAGCTGGGCGAGAAGAGGCATCAATGCTCCATGACCAAGCACAAGGTCACGACATTTAGGAGAGTCTCCGGCGATATTACCCAGAGCCCAAACAGCCTGCACCAGACAGGATACAGCAAATTCGTTAACACAAGCAAAGCATGATCTAAGAAATAAGTACGTATGGTTACAGATACGCAATGACGGAATACTATGGGTGTACTCAAACGACATGAGGGATAGAAGAGTTTCAGATGAGACTGACACATTGCCTCTAGTTGCTCCGTTCACAACGAGACGGCAACCACTACAGAAAGTCGTTAATTAACTGAAAAGGACGAGTATTTCAGTCTTGAAAGTCGATAATGAGGACGACCTCACAATAATCCTTCTGTACAATATAGATACGCAATATCGTCTCCTCCATGGCGAACACTTTAAAGCAGAACTATATTAATATTGTGATATACTGTACCTGCTCACGAACATCATCGCTTGGGGAACTCAAAAGTTGGACAAATATGGGAACAGCCCCATGGTCGATCACCACGCGAGTGTGGTCAGACGTGCCTGATGCAATATTCGTCAACGCCCATGCAGCTTCAAACTGCAGAGAAGCATTACAATGAGATACCAATACACCTGAACCTTGATTTATCTGTAAACTAAGTATTCATTGCAGCAGTCGTACCTGCAACTGCGGAAAATCACCACGGACTAAAAATTCAACAATGCGGGGTACAACACCCGCCGATATGACTTCCTCGATTGGAGGACTGCGTTCTGCGCATGAAAAAACGAGAGGAAGCGCCATGAGTAAGGGCATAAAATGTGAGTCTAAACGCTAAGAATCGGACAACAAGGTCCTCAATCCTGGTAAAATATCACGGATGAGATAAACCGTACCAATAGAGAGCAGCTTTCGGAACTGAGTTGTCGCTTCCAGTTGTGTAGCTGGATCATCCGAGCATATCGCGGCGACCATCCCCGGAAGGCTCTCAAGTTGCTACATTGAATAAAACAGAGAAATCAAGATCAATACAGCACAAAATAGTCGAACCACGAAACAGAAGAGCTAACATACAAGACATAGCAAATTAAACAATGCACCATGGCATCACAAGTCTCCTTCGACACTCGCAGATCCGATTGATCTCAAGTTAAGGGGGAGACTCGATTCATAGAGACAAAAATAAAAATAAAAATAAAAATAATAGCATTCCAGTTTTCGATCCTGTCAACGTTCATTCAGATCACCTTCTTCTCTGACGAGGCACTTTGGGCGGGAGTGAACTGCTGGTGCAGTTGTGAGCCCTCCCTACGCTTCTTCTGAAGGTTCTCATCCCTCTTGGACTTCCTAATCTCCACCATCCCATCCTCTCTCTTTCTCCTCGCCTCCATGGCATCAACAGCAAGCTTGTATCCTTTCATGCGAACTTCAGTCCGGGCGCTGGGTCGGAGAGACATAATGACAGGTGTGGAACGGGCAACAACACAGACTACAGCGAAGAAATCCAACGAAGACAAGAGACAGCAAACAACGAGATTAAGCACACGATACTACACTTCAGGTCAGGTCACGACTTCAGAAAACAGTAAGAACAGCAAGCCAAAAGAAGCGACAGCAAAGGAGCTGTCTGAGATGAAATAAGCGCCAGGATAGCAAAATAGCACAGCAAGTTGCATGGTATAAAAGACACAGACATAGCAACAGTCGCTCCGACGCACGCCAGAGATGAAAAAAATTCAAATTGCGACGGAGCTCGAGAATCGGGGTTTAGAATTTTAGGGCTGAGGTGGAGTCTGAAGCCGCTGTTTGTAATTAATCCTGTGAGTCGACTTGGACGCCACGCTGGCGCTTCGTGTTTCTTTTAGTGATGTTGTTCAGGAGCTTTGACTGGTCGCCCCTTCTCATGAGCCATTTGTTTTGGGGGTTTTGGTGGAATAAATGAGCGCGTTCGCTGCTAAATTTATATTGTATGTGTAGTTCAGAATCTGGGTTTATGATATTGAAAGGTACAACTTGCAGTTGATTATTGTATGTATCTGTGTATGTATTCTTGCATATTTAACCACAATACTTAAAATGTTTTTAAAATCTTGATATTCTACGTAGAGATACGTGTAAAAATATAAGGAAATTCAATGTTGGTTGTTGTCAAATAAATGATATGATATTCAAATCATTGTTATGGTTGTATTGAGGCAAAATAAATATCACTAAAAATAAGTGTGGGTAACATTGTGGATGAACTTGGTTTTACTTCCAAATATGATGGCTAGTGTAGAAGTCATACAACAACAAATTAAAGTTTAAAGAAACATCCAAAACAAATTTTTACTACAATGGAGCATTACCTACAAGGCTTTCCAGATTTAAAATGATTTTAGATTGGTTTTTCATGATCACATGTCAGCTTCCCAAGACTTTAAAACCTCTTTGTAATAAATGCATGGCTTTTAGTAGAAGCTTTTTTCACAGTCAGTTTAAGGCAAAAGTTATGGTAGAACAATACTATCAAAAATGTTTTCTTTGTTTGTTTATTCAAGTGTATAACATCCTTGTTAATTTGTTTTTTATTTAAAAAACACAATATCTAAATAATAATAATAATAATAATAATGTATGTATATGTATATATGATCTTTGTTTATTTGGCCAACCATATTTATAGTTCGAATCATTTCTGAATCACAAAGTTATTATTTCATTCTCATTTGAATGCTCCAAAGAGTGCTGTATCTAGCGTAAGAGGAGTTCAATAATCTTATTGAATGCCAAAATAATTCTGGATTCCGAATAATCTCAAATAATTCAGGATTATTTTTTAGATATCAGAATTATATAAAAGAATGTAATTTATGCCAAAAGAATCTGGGTTTCCATAAGTATTCCAGAAATAATTTGCTCCTTTAATAAAGTATTTGTTTTGCATTGAATATCCAGAATTAGTTTCTTGTATCATTTTATTGTTTTGTTGATGTAGAAACAATCAACTGCACAAGAAGTATCACATGTTTGAAATCAATGAATTGTATGCATTTTAAGGGGTCTTTGCAGTTTGAGGACAAGGTGAAGAGATTACAATTTTTAAATCCTTTAATCTGATGATGAAATGGAAAAACCTCTTGGTTTTAGCCAATGAAGAGATTTTAAAAATGTAGCCTCTCACTTTGTCCCTTAAGTACAAAAACCCATTTATAATATGAACATTTAAAAATAATAATATTATATTTCGAATTTTAAATAAAATATCCTATTTTTTCAAGAATAAATCTAATACAATTAACATGAAATTGTTTTTAAGTATATACATTTGTTGCCATTTCAATATGTTTCTCATTTTTTAAATCTGTTTTAGTTTATATTATTTCTGTAAGTCTGTATATTAATGAAAAATATCTTTGAATGCTTAAATTGATTCAGTCAAAATAACCTTGAATTTTTGAAACTACAAATTTAATTGCCACTTTTCTGTTAGACAATTTGTAACTATTTAAATACCCTTGGGTATGCAGAAGTTGAACTTTTTGTGATAATTAATGTAAGTGCTGAAAAGTTGATGACAACCAATTTAACCATAAATTATGGAGGCTTCTATTCCTTAACATAAAACATTTAATAATATTTAAGTATATTACTTTCTTTTATCTTTCCATTAATACTAATATTTTTGCATTGAATGTATATTTTAAAAACAATCTACATACAATAACATTTAAGGGCCACTTTACATTATGGTTAATTGTCAAGAAAACAAAGGATTCTAATAAGATAATTGGTGGAAAGAAAAAAATTAAGTGCTTGGCCTTCAAATTAGAGATGAATAATCAACAAATGTATTAGATGAAAGTATTTGCATTGCTACATTTTATGACAATTTTGACATTAAGAAGTTGTCCCTTTGACAAGAAATTGGATTAGGTAGGAATAAAATCCAATTTTCAATTAAGCAAAAAAGCACATTTTTTTTCTATTTGATCCTTAAGTAGGACTAAATTATTATTAAGGACTTCTTTGATGATGTAAGGTTATGTCTAAGGAACATCAAATTTAGTTAGAAATTAAAATTTTCTAATATCTTCGACAATTATCTACATCATTGGAGTAATTTTTTAATTTTTAAAATCTTTCTTTCTTTTCTTTAAAGTAGTTTTTACATTTTATTAATCTTTGTGCTTTATTTAGATCAATCAAGTATTATAATTTTTTATTCAAATATAAGGAATTATTTGATCTTTCATTATTAGTAATATGTAAAAATAGGATTTTAAATTCTACTTGTAATACGATTTTTTTTCTGTACAAATAATAATAATAATAATAATAATAATAATAAAAGATTTTGTATCTTAAAAGAACCTTGTAAGTACTTTAATATGCCCAAATTAAAAATATAAGTTTAAGATATCAATTACATTTTTAGCCCATTATTATTTTTCTTAATATACAAACTAAATTTCAGTTAATTCTTTATGCAAATCTATATGTATGAATATAATTTTTAATCTTAGATTTAACTTTGATTGGATTGTAAATTGGTTGATTAAACTACTTAGATTAATACTATATTAATATAAAAGAAATCAAAACTTATTACTAGAAGCATCTAAAATTTAAATTTTTATACTTTGAACAAAAATGGATCTAAAATTTAATTGATTAGAAGATCTTTTCTAAAATGAATGATAGATTTGCAAAACATTGACAATGGTGAAGATACCTTAGAAGTGCTAAATGGAGAGGTCTAACTTCTGCCTTTCTGGTTAATAGTCACACATTCTTATACACTAGGCAGTTCTATTTGACAAGGTGGAGCAAATTTGCAGAGCCAAGAATCAAACCTAGGTTTATACCATGATAGGAGATTACTTAGCCACTAATATATTAGTGAAATGCAATATGTTCCATGAAATTTCTATTAGGATTTAAGTAAATTTGATAATTATATTGTGTTTTACCTTGGCCTTTTGGCGGGGTTGCTATAATCAAATCAACTTTCATAATCCATTAAGGTATTTAAGATATTTGTATGATCTTCTAAAATCTTATATTATAAAAAATCAAGTAGCTAGTGAGGCAATATAACACATAACAAAGAAATAAGAATGTCTAAAGTTTAATTTTTATAGTTGAATATTCTCAGAGCTGTTTGATTTGACCGTACTCCTTTTTGAACGAGAAGTTATTGTTATGATGGATGATATATGCCGAGGAAGAAGTATCCCTTGCTATCTACCATCTATTAATTATAATCATGTTTGCTAAGATGTTGGGCAATGACAACATAGATTTCTAAGGCAATAAGTGAGCCCTAGAAGTCATGTGTTCATTGTAGTATATTTACTACTTGAAATAGATTGGCTTGAGTGTATGGTGTCAAGTCTAATTTGCCTTGTATTTTGATATTCATTGCAGTAATTAATCAAGCCATTTGTAGAGAATGTGATGGTGAAAGAGGAACAATGACCAATTTGGATGCAATAGTAGCCACAATAGTATTGATCTTTGTTTAAAGATCTTATAGGAGCTAAGCTAATCATGGATTAGACTGCTTAATGATGATGTTGGCTGGTAGGTAGAAGTGTTAAATACCCACTTTGTTGTGGAATTGTTAGAGTAGAGTATTAGTAGAATCTTCAATGTTGATGGAGAGGCGGTAGTATTTGGTGGTGTATTTGGGAGGACATTATGATATAATAACACAACTATATGGTGAAAAATAAAAATATGGATATTATTATAAAAGAATCTAATAAAAAGATGTAATAAAAAAATAAGGATAAATAATAGAAAAGTAATAAAATTTTTAGACTTAATATTATTTTTAATAGAAGAAACTTCTATTTATCTTATATAAATATATATACCTAAAATCAAAATAAATAAAAAAGTAAATAATATAAGCATCTTTAAAAAAAAGTTAATAATAGATTTAAGCAAAAAATATCTCAAATTATCAAAAATTGATACTTAGAGAGGACTTGTTGTGAACTTGAGTTGAAATCAAATCTTAAGGTTCAAAACTATACATCCATAGCAACCTTAGAGTTCTTTTGTAAATTAGAGAGTAGATCTTAAAAGTAAATATATATATATATATATATATATATATATATATATATATATATATATATTTGGAAGTTGATTTCATATCATTTGGATATAATTGAGATTTTGAGGGATTTTCAAAGTTGAATGATGTACTTAGTGGGTTTAGACTTTGAAAAATAAAATAATTTTATAAATTTAAAAATATTGTGAATTTTGTAGCATGCTTACAAGTAAAAATTTGATAGTTTGTCATTGTACTTGTTGTAAATGTGTGTGAGAAAGTTAAGGTCAATTGAATGGTTAGATTAGAAGGTATGAGAAATTTTGTAGATTATGGTGTCAAAAATTAGGTTTAAAAGATTAGTGAAGATTTTCAAGATATTTATAAATTTGCTAATTGGATTGATATATAATTTTGTTCAATAGTTGCTAGCTTGACTTCTGATAGTTGTTCTAAGTTTGGGACCAATTGAATAGTAAAATTAAGAGATAGTGACTCTCGAATATCAACATTAAGGTTAGAGAAGGATGCCAGATAATGCTTGAGTGGAATTTATGGATTTTTGTCTATTTGGTATATGTGACCTTCTTCAAATTTTGTGTGCTTGTTATTAATTTAGTTATTGAAGAATTTAAAAATTTTGAATCAAAATCAATGATTCAATTATTAGTTATTGGTTTTTCAATTTTCTATATAGTTTGGTAAAGATTTATCTAAGATTTAGAATTTGGTTAGATTTTTCTTAGAATTAGTTTAAAATTTAATTAGCATTTAGGATTTGATTAGGATTTAAGATTTGATTAGAATTTGGTTAGGATTTATGATTTGATTAGGATTTGATTAGGATTTACTAGTATTTTAATTAGGATTTTA